TGTCCGCCGCGCTCGCCCGTGTCTCGGGGCTTGTGGGCCCAGTGAACCCCGTCGCCTGCCGGCCGGCCGAGCTCCTCACCAGCGAGGCTGGGGTCGCGCTGGTGCCCTGGGGCTGCCCAGGGGCGCGGGCAGCGGGTACCACGGCCCCCGCCGGCACGCCGGCCGCCGACGCCCTCTACGCGCTGCTGCGGGCCTTCCGCTGGGCGCGCGTGGCCCTGGTCACCGCCCCGCAAGACTTGTGGGTGGAGGCCGGCCGCGCGCTGGCCGCTGCGCTCCGGGACCGGGGCCTGCCCGTGGCTCTGGTGACCTCCATGGAGCCCGCAGACGTCGGTGGTGCCCGGGAGGCCTTGAAGAGGGTCCGAGCCGGGCCCAGAGTCAGAGGTAGGCCTCGGCCCCGTCCTCATCGCCGGGCGGGCGGCGGCCGCGGGGCCCACTGGCGGCAGGTACGAGCCGAGCTGTGCCCGCAGCGGTGATCATGGTGATGCACTCGGTGCTGCTGGGCGGCCAGGAGCAGCGCCACCTGCTGGAGGCCGCCGAGGAGCTTGACCTCACCGACGGCTCGTTCGTCTTCCTGCCCTTCGACACGCTCCACTATGCTGTGTCCCCGGGTGCCCAGGCCTTGACCGCGCTGGCCAACAGTTCCCGGCTTCGGAAGGCCCACGACGCTGTGCTCACGCTGACGCGCAACTGTCTCCCGGGGGGCAGCGTGCTGGATGGCCTGCGCAGGGCGCAGGAGACCCAGGAGCTGCCGCCTGACCTCGATCCACAGGAGGTACAGGGACCAGGGGAGAGGGAGGAGACAGGGGAGTCAGCGATAGGGACAGCTGAAACCGCGAAAGGAGGTGCGGGGCCGGGGCCGACTGAGAAAGGGGAGAGGGGAACGGGCTAGACGCGGGCAGAAGTTGGAAGAGAAGTGGCTTAGCAGAATGGGGGGAAGATGAGGTCGGTGGGAGAGAGGTTGGAATTAATGGGGAGAAAATTAGTAGCAGCTCTAGTTGCTCTGAAGGTTAGCTGTGGTGGCTTAATAGTAACGACTTGTGCTGCCAACCCAGAGACATGTGATTCAAATCCACCAGTTGATCTGGAGGAGAAAGATAGGCAATCTCCTCCCGAGCGATTTACACTTTCTGAAACACCTCTGGAGGGTTCAGTTCTGACTCCATGACACACCACAACAACTAGTTGTTCTGTAGTTTCCTGGCTAGAGACTCTGGTCTGTCTTGAGGTATCTTAGTATATTGGGGTCAAGGAGGTGGGATGGACTGGGAGGATGGGGCTTGTGTACAGAACAAACAGAGGCAAAGATGATAAAGCTTTGGGCATGTTGTTAGGAGAGGCTGTTCCTTGGAGAAGGACATCATGCTTTGGTGGAGAGTTGGTGAGAGAAAGGAAGACCTTCAGCTAGATGGATTGACAGAGTAACTGCAGCAATGAACTCAATTGTATCAGAGATGATAAGGATGGCATAGGATAGCACAGGGTACAGATATGTTGTTCTTAGGGTTGCTATGAGGCATACTCGACTGAACAGCACCTCACATCAACAGAGTAGTGTATACAGAGTAGTGTGCTTTGAATCCCCACAGGCAGTCTCCTGTTAAGGTTTACAGTAGTGGATGGAAGGTAACTGCCATGCAGTAAGTTTGAAGAGTTTTTTATTTTTGGATTTTTGAGTGTGTTGGCAATGTGATATCCCACATCCAGCTTAGGAAGCAAGTGCTGATGGGTTTTAAGTTGCAGTGTCTTTTGTAATCTCCTTCATAGCAAGCCCATTCTCAGAATCACGTAATATATAATAATTATCTGGTGTTCTCAAAAGGAAATTTCCCATGATGCAAATGGCTAACAAGCTAGGCTGCTTAAAGAAAGGCTGGAGTTGGAGGTTCAAGTCCATCCAAAGACACCTCAATCCCTGGCTTTTCAATCATCCATGGAAAACCTTAGGGAGCACAGTTGGACGCTCACATATATGGGGGTGCTGTGAATTGGATGGTCCAGTGTGGGGTTAGTTTTTAATTTTTGGTTTTCAAGAGAGCAGGGAGGTGGGAGGATGCAGATCCAATTGTCATGCCTAGTTCAGAAGAGTTTGTCCTCTGGGGCTTAATCTGGTAGCTTTAACTTGTTGAAGGCCTTGATATCCTTTAAGAAGTAGAACTGTCCCTAGCTAGAGGGAGGGACCCCCACAGTCATTTAAATGTATAGCTTATCACCAGCATCCAGCTAATATCCAGGATTTTTGGTATCCCTGGAATTCTGGTTTAGACCATTTAGCTATATCTCAGTGACAAAAAAAGACAAGAAGCCAGTCAGATAGAGGGACTCTGAATGTTTTTGGTCACTAAAGCAACCACTACAGAGGCCCTTCTCAAATGCAGAGAGATGGGGTATGGCTATGGGTCAGTGGAGCTTGAAATAGAATTCCCTATCTCCGACCCAAAAAGAGCCCACCAGAGCCCTTGAACCTCCTGCAGGAGGATTTGCAGTAGCCAGTGTGGAGAAAGGATAGAAATAATCATGAGGAGAATAAAAGTCAGACAACAGTGGTGGGACAGGGACAAAATCAGGAAAGAGAGAATGACAGGTGAGTAAGTCGGTGGAGAAGGCTCTCAAACTCATTGCTCTCAAGTCAGAGGCACTCATCGCTGACCCTCGAGCAGGTTTACAGAGGCCATAAATCACACAGGAGGAGATTGTCCGTCTTTCTCTGAATTTGAACCACTTGTCTTTGAGCTGGTGGTGCAGGTCCTTACTCATTAGGCCACCAGAACTTCCTAATACTAGCAAAAGGGAGCAAAATATGGAGGGTTTTCAGTAAGAGGCACGACCTTTCACCCAGCTTTCCAAGATAGACTCCTGAAAGTCACCCTCCATTTCCAGTCCTTCTTCCCTCACATCCAGACATCTTTCTAAAGATTTGGATCCACATTTCTCCACCCTCACTACCATGGCCTTGGTTCAGGACACAGTACCATGTGGCCATATCATGCTCAAAACTCTCCCAGTGACTTCCCTCACCCTGGATAGAGGCACCATCTTCCTAGAGGCCTCTGTGTCTGCCTCTCTCTCATCTTTCTCAAAGTATATGCTTCATTCAGAAAAGAACAGATTTTGGTCCCCTAAATTTGCCCCTTTTTTGCCTCTGAGCTGCTGGGTATACACTTTCCTCTCTTACGGTAGAGTTCCCTTGATCACCTGATGAGTTCTGACTAACCCCTTAGTTCTCTGCTTTGTGGTCACTTCATCTAGAGGTTTCCTTCCCTCTTGCCCCTCCCCCAGCCTGAGTTGGGACCCCTCTTTTGTGTGTCACAGCTAGCTCAGATCCCCCTACCATGTCCCACATTGCACCATCTTCACATTCCTGTCCCTTCCACAAGTGGTTCTTTGCAGACAGGGACTCCCTCGTGTACACCAATGTATCCCTGGTGCTTGTGTGGTGCCTGGGACATACTATTTGTTGCCCTTTGTGAGACGGGAACTGGAATAATGAAGACGTGTGATGAGATCAAGTGGTAGTGTTGGGGAGCGAAAAGGAGCAAATATAGAAATCTGCATGTGGGAAGAAAAACTTTTGGGTAAGTGGAGGGTCGGGCTCCAGGTACTGGGGCCTTAGGCTCAGTGTGACCACATGACCTGTGCTCTGAAGTGGCTTCAGTAGCTGACTTTTTGGAAGTAGACCAACCTTTTTGTTAACAGCTAGGCATGTTAACCATTTGTACCATCCAGGGATTCCTGAATGGTAAGTAAGTCACTACCACCAAGTCCCCTCATAGTGACCTTACAGAACAGAGCAGAATTGCCCCAGGGAGCTTTCAAAGCTGGTGCCTTTTCAGAAACAAGCGGCCCCATCTTCCTCCACTGCTGGGTTCAAGCTGCAGTCTAGCAGCTCTAGAATAGCCATCTCTCTCTTAACTACTGCACCACCAAGAGCGCCCCACAGGGATAGGCAAAATGACAAGTGTATGCAAGGGCAGCTGAAAGGAAGGTGAGGAGGTGCTGTAGATGATGGCATATGTGCTGGACAATGGGAACAGTGAGAAGCCTGGGGACTCGGCCCAGTGAGTGGACGGGTGAGAGTCTGTGAGCCACGGCTCTGGATCCTGAGCCCTGTACCCCCTCTGCAGGTGTCCCCACTTTTCGGCACCATCTATGATGCAGTCTCCTTGTTGGCGAGGGCCTTTGCAGAGGCCCGGGCAGCCAGAGGTGGTGGCTGGGTGTCTGGAACAGCCGTGGCTCAACATGCCCAGGAGCTCCAGGCCCCTGGCTTCTGCGGGGTCCTGGGAGGAGCTGAGGCGGCCCCGTTTGTACTGCTGGACACAGATGCCACAGGGGACCAGTTGTTTGCCACACACACACTGGACCCCTCCCGGGGCTTCCTTCTTTCCTCTGGGACCCCAATGCACTTCCCTAAGGGGGGACATGGACCTGGGTATGACCCTTGGTGCTGGTTCGACCCCAACGTCATCTGCAGTGGAGGTGAGGGTGTGTGACTCTGTGTGTGTGTGTGTTTGTCCCACCCCCATCTTCACTGGGACATTATTGTGGGCAGAATTCCACAACTTCCCAGAGAGACCCCTCACCTCTGCCAGGTGCCTGACTGTACCCTGCTGCCTCCCCCAGGAGTGGAGCCCGCACTAGTCTTTCTCGGTTTCCTTATGGTGGTTGGAGTGGGGCTGATTGGGGCATACCTGGCCCATTACCTGAGGTGAGTAGGGGTAAAGTGAGTCAGAGATAAGTTTAGCTCTCTGTCTGCCAGAACTGAACCCATGCAGCAAAGACAGCAGGGGCCACAGGAGTAGAAAGGGGACAATGGGGTTCCTGGGGAGGGGTGGCACAGTACCAGGGGATGTCAGCCTTCCGGTGCCCCTGCTCCACCTGAGCCAGCATTACCTGTGCCCCACTCCCTGCTGGCTCCTTCTCATGGGTCTGGGCTCCTTCTCTGAGAGGACATCTTCTCCCGCCAGACACCGGCTACTTCACATTCAGATGATCTCTGGCCCCAACAAGATCATCTTGACTCTGGATGACATCACCCTGCTCCACCCACAAAGAAGCAACTCCAGGAAGGTGGGTGAGGCTGGAGGCTGAAACCCAGCTGTTCTCTCCTCACATACCTAGTCCCCTCCCAGGACACTCACTCACTCACATGGGCAGTCCTAGGTTCTACCCCAGCTCTCAGCTCTAAGGAGCAGCCTCATCAATGCAGTAGGGATATTACCTCGTCCTGCCTGCTTTCTTGTTGGGTGAAACTCATGAACATTTTTTTTTTACTGTAGCTTCACAACAAAACAAAAATTTGTTTCATAAACTGTAAAGTGCAGCACACTTGGGGAGGAATGTCTTTATCATCTTCTCTAATTTTCTCTCTTTAATCTCCAGAATCCATGCTACCTAATTAACTCTGGGCTGTGACTTCAGACTATATACTCTGATCCCTTGCTCTCCCTCTTGTCCCTCAGGTAATCCAGGGGAGTCGATCAAGCCTGGCTGCCCGCAGTGTGTCAGACATTCGCAGTGTCCCCAACCAGCCCACTGACACCTCCAACATCGGCATCTATGAGGTAAGCCTTACCACCTCCCTGGAGGAGGAGGAGTGAGAGGGAGGCTTAAGAGCTGGGCTGCCATTCTCTCTAGGAATGGTTGTTGTTATGTGTGCCTTTGAGCTGGAACCAAATCATGACTGACCCTCTGGTGGATTCTCTGGGGTAGCAAATCACACATCTTTCTCCGGTGAAGCAGCTGGTGGATTCAAACAAGTGTGCCTTTGGCAGCATATCTCCTTACTAGCTACCTGAGCTTGCTAGGGTGTCATGTCCAATCCCAGAGGCTCCAGGAAAGGAGGATGGGAGTTTGGATGAGATCTAGGGAAAGTCATGGATTCCTCAAAAGAAATGGCTAGAAGTGTTTACAAAATCCTTATGCAAAAGAGTATTTCTCAGCAGCCGATCCCGGTGGCCTAGATGCTTGCAGCCTGAGTTGAGGGCAGGAAGTGGAAAGGGGAAGGCCCTTCCAGGGACTACCACTGAGGCCACACCTTCCCTTGTTGGGAACCCCCTAGGTCTGACTCCTCCAGTGATCCAGGCCTTCCCAGAAAGATTGGGGCACAGGAGGCATCAGCAATGTGGTCTCTGGTTGTATAGAACCCATCCCAGGACAAGGACTGTGCAGGATGGAGAGCATCCAGATGCGCTATCTCTCATGCAACCAGCCTTTCTACCCAATTCAGATCAGACTCAGGAAGAGCAAGCCTCCCAGGGGGTGGCCCAAAGGGGATTAGGATAATAACTGTGGAGTCAGCAAATTTGAATGTAGTGAGATGGATGGAAGATGATGACAGCAATTCTCGGAGCTTAGCTGGTCAAGAGGAGAATCAACTCGAAAATTCTGGGATATGCTGGAATACAGAGGCCCCAAGTATGTCCCTTAAAACAATCATAGCTGCTGCTCAGTCTCTACTGTCAGACACTATTGTGCCTCTGCTATGATATCCTGGGCCACAGGGACTGCTGCTAACCCACAGGCCAGGTCTCTCTGGCAGTTCAAGTCCAGCAGCTGCTCCACAGGAGAAAGATATGTGATTGACAGCCTCAGGAACCCATGAAGGGTAAGATTTAAGTCAGTTCCCGCTCAAAGGCAATGAGTTTGAGCTTTTGGTATTTGAAATTGTCATTTTGGCAGGATGTTCTTGGTTCAGGTGTGGGACTACATTGCAGAATCGCTAACATCTTTAGCCCTGTCCACTAAATACATCTAGTATGTATGACAATTAAAAAAGACTTACCCACATTTATTTCCTGATGTCCCTTAGGGGTCAATACTGAACTTCCAGGATTCTCTTCTAATTCAAATCCTCCTCCAACAGATAGGACAAGCTACATAATTGTCTGCAGGGCCCAGTAAAAAATGAAATGTTGTTGTTGTTGTTAGGTGTCATCAAGTTGAGTACTACTCATAGCAGTCCTATAAACAACAAATCTGAACCCTGTCCCATCCTATACCACTCTCATAATCTCTGACACACTCAAGCCCATCATTGCAGTTACTCTATGAGTTCATCTGGTCGAAGGTCTTCCTCTCTTTCACCATCCCTCCACCTTCCCAAGTATGATATTCCTTTCCAAGGAATAGCTTCTCCTAGCAACATGCCTAAAGTACAGGTTATGAAGTTTCACCATCCTTTCTTCCAAGAAGCACTCTAGATGCACCTTTCCCAAGATTTATCTATCTATTCTTTTGGCAGGCCATGGATATTCAGTACTCCTCTCCAATAGCACAGTTGAAAGGCATTAATTCTTCTGTCATCCTTATTCCTTATTAACTATCCAGCTGTGAAATTAGGAGCCTCTTAATTAATTCAAGAAGATGAAGCAGATAATTTTATCAAGATTGGAGCCCTTCTGAGCATGGGGCCCTGTACATGTGCATAGGTGTGTTACCCAGAAAGTCAGTCTGCCAGTAGCAAAGGAAAATGACATCCAGAGCTCAGGCAGTACAATCCAGCCAAATCCACCTTGGATCCTGACAACTGGTACAGTGCTGTCTTGTGGCTGCGGATGATGATGAGGCTGCGATGGATGTTATCAGTGACTGTTGTGGTAATAGCTTGGCTGGCTGCAATAGGGCTGTGTGTGAGTAAGCCCATCTGGGGTGGTGAGGACAGCCATCCAGACCTTCTGCATATCTCTCACTCAGGGACATGCTCCCAGCAGTTGGCTGTGAAGTGAACTGGCAGACATCAACCCCTGGATTCTTCTTCACTTGGGAGCTGTGTTCTGGGGCAATAGGCCAATGCAAATGTAGGGCTCTAGGGTTTTTCAAATTATAGGCATCTAAGGGACTACAAAAGAACAACCAAATGTGTTTTGAAGAAGAGCAACCAGGTTGCTGCTTAGAGGCAAAGATGATAACATTTCATCTCACATACTTGGGCATATTGTCAGGAGGGGCCAGTCCTGGGAAAAAGACATTATGCTGAGAAAGGTGGAGGGTCAGAGAATGAGAGGAAGGTCCTCAACAAGAAGGATCGACGAGGAAGCGGGGGGAAACAAAAACAAGATGGATTGACACAGTGACTGTGACAGTGGGCTCGAACATGGCAGAGATGGTGAGGAGAGCACAGGAGAGAGCCAGCTCCAGCTCTGTCATCATAGGGTCTCTGAGATATAGTAACTTGATAGCATTTAATAAACAGCGAAGGGATCTAATTTCCAATCTTCATTCTCTCTGCTCCAGGGAGACTGGGTTTGGCTGAAGAAATTCCCAGGGGATCAGCACACAGCTGTCCGCCCAGCAACTGAGACAGTCTTCTCAAAGGTGAGAGTTTGGGATGGGATGGGGATGGGGATGAGGTGGAGTGTTGCTGGGCTCATAGCTGGACTCTGATGTGGGAGAGACAGGGAGGTTTCAGTTAAGCACTTCAGATCCACAGGCCAGCTCAGGAGAAAGATGATGCCACCTCAAGATTTACATTTCAAATAAAAAACCCAGGAAGGTGGCTGTGGGTAGGAATTAGCAGCGGTGTGTTGGGCCCTCTGTAGACCAGGCTTCCTCTCATCCTCTCTCTTTTGGAGTTCTTATCACACTTTGCAATTGTGCGTTCATTTATATGCTTGCATATTTGTTATCCACTCTGTAAGCTGAGTGAAGATCCCTTACCCTCACCACATCCAGTGTCTCGAACTATAGAGATTAGTGAATGCTGAGTGAATGGTATTAGTGGCTGTTGAGTTGGTCCAGCTCAAAGAAACATTATATATAACAAAACAGAATGTCTCCTGGTTCTGTACTGTCTCCATAGTCACTGGGATGTCTGAGTCCCAACTGAGAGAATGACAGTGAATGTTCTTCTAGACCACTGACCACTTAGGCTGAATAGCCCTTGCTGGACCTATGCATACTGAATGGAGTAGGAAGGTGGGACAGAGGCCTGGCTTATTCTGACCCTTCCAGTTTGAGTGCCCTTCCCCATGTCCCCACTACCCTGGCCTGGCCTCCTTCCTGATCCCTCCACAGCTCCTGGACACAGCTGCAGACAGACCCAGGTGGACACTTGTATAGTTTAACATTTTTTTACAGTGGGCATATAAAGTGCAAAGAAACCCTTTCACTGGACATTTTTGGATGAAAAAAGCTAGAAAGGTCACCAGTCCCCAAGACAGCCCCCATTTTCCCAACATGCCCAGCAGGAGTGTGAGGTCTGCGGCTTCACTGCTTATGGGGGTGGGGGAGAGATACACTTGGCCCAAGCTGCGCTGTCCAGTATAAGCAGTTTCTGGGATTCTGTGACAGCAATGCCACCTTTTCCCTATTCTACCAAAGGCTTTTCTATCCAATGGGGAGGATGGGGATCCTCCCTCATGAGGTGTTTTTCCTTAAGACTCAGAAGTCCGGTGTTTCATGGTCAAAACGTGCTTGAGTAGTGATCACCTCTGCCAGAATGTATTTTCAGCCATAATGTTCAGCTAAACCATGTGGCTATGCTATATTGCCTTTCCCCAAAGACAGGGAGCTCTGGTGGCCTAAGAAGTGGTAAGAAACTGTGCTGCAATCACAAAGGCACAAGGTTCAAATCCACTAGCTCCCCTGCAGGAGAAAAATGAGCAAAGATGAGAAAGAAGATCTCCCAGGATGGGGGAATAACTGCCTTCACTGCAGGGTCAGCTATGGATATTTCCAAAGAGAAATACCATGTGCTGAAGGAATCTCTTTACATGCCCTACAGTTTCATTCAATATTTTTAAATATTATCCACCTCTCCCCCTCAGCTTCCACCCCTTCCCCCTCAGTTGTCACCTCACCCCCTCAGCTATCACCTCACCCCCTCAGCTATCACCTCACCCCCTTAGCTGTCACCTCACCCCCTCAGCTCCGGGAGCTGCGACACGAGAACGTGGCACTGTACCTGGGACTCTTCGTGGCACCTGGTGACACTTCCCCAGGGAATGGTGTCATTGCTGTGGTCTCAGAGCACTGTGCCCGGGGCTCCCTTCATGATCTCCTCGCCCAAAGAGACATCAAGCTGGACTGGATGTTCAAGTCCTCCCTGCTGCTGGATCTCATCAAGGTGTGAGTTGTGAGGGTGGGTTGTAATGGGCAGAGGCTGACGAGGATCTGCTCTGCCGAGGCTGCCCACACCCCGTCTTCTAGGGGATGAGGTATCTGCATCATCGAGGTGTCGCCCACGGGCGCCTCAAATCCCGGAACTGCGTGGTGGACGGGAGGTTTGTGCTCAAGGTCACTGACCATGGCCATGGACGCCTACTGGAAGCACAGAGGGTGTTACCGAAGCCCCAGAACGTCGAGGGTAGGATCCCTGGCTGATCTCTCAGTACTCCGGGATCCCCAACATTTTAATGGCTTCTCCCTCCTTCCCATCTTTCACCCTTGTGCTCTCTCACTTCCAAAAGCTGGACTCCTTTTTTCCAAAAGGAATTGTGGAGGGTTGATGTGGAGGGTGGGGTCTGTGCCAGAAGATCTGGTGTGTTTAGGCAAAGCGTGTGCTGAGAGGGGGTGGGTTCTCTCCCACACCGACTCATCTGCTGTCTCTGAGCTGACCTCTGGAGATGTGAGCCAGGCTCCAGGTCCATGCTTCAGAGGGGCGTGGGGTTGATAATGGTGAGTGGACAACTGGGAGCAAGTCCTGTCTGAGGAGTGGGATCTGCCCTCAGTGTCCCTTTCCCCATTCCTAGACCAGCTTTGGACAGCCCCGGAGCTGCTTCGGGACCCCTCCTTGGAGCGTAGGGGGTCACTGGCTGGCGATGTCTTTAGCCTGGGCATCATCATGCAGGAGGTGGTGTGCCGAAGCACCCCTTACGCCATGCTGGAGCTGACTCCCGAGGGTACACCCATCCATCAATCTTCAGGGGTCTGGGTGGAGTCACACCCTGTGTTTAGGGCAGGCCAGACCCCAGCTTTGCTTTCCCACAACCCTAAATCTAAATCTCAGGTTGAGGCTTTACGATGCAAGGGTTCCCTTAGAGCTGAGGGCTGGTGAGTCAGTGCGGTGGACAGTGAAGCTTCAGGTGATGTGGGACCCCTCCCTGTCTGGATCCTGGACCTCTAGCTGATAGGATAGACACCTCTCATTTCTCAGGGGCTCAGAGGTATTACTAAGGGAATAACGAAGATAAGACCTATCATATATTCTGAGAGCTAGAGAAGAAAGTGTGTAAACTCCCTGCTGTATAGTTGTTACATGCCATCTTGTTGGTTGCAACTCAGAGCGACCCTATATACAACAGCTCTGAACCCTGCTCTATCCTGAGCCAACCTTATTATCTCTGCTATGTCACCGCTGGCTGAACCCTCCCACCCCCAGGGCACCCCTTTCCCACAGAGTTCTCATTTAAAAGAAGCCCTGCTAGCCTCCCCATCTCCTTTCAACAATCAGGCCAGGGTCTGACATGTCTCCTGTTGTCCCCTCCTGCCCCCAGAGGTGGTGAAGAGGGTACAGAGCTCCTCCCCACCATGCCGGCCTTTGGTGTCCATGTACCAGGCTCCCATGGAATGCATCCAGCTGATGGAACAGTGCTGGGCAGAGCAGCCAGACCTCCGGCCCTCCATGGACCGCACCTTCGACCTGGTCAGGGGCTGGATCTGGGCTAGGGCTGGGTTGGCTACTAGGACCCGAGGCATGGGTGACAGGACTTCCGGCTTCCCACATCACCTCTCAAGGAGGAGCCTGAGGTTTAGTGGGGGCTGGAGAGGCCTGTGGAGTGGAAGACACCCAGGGGGAAATATTTTATTCATTGAGAACTAAATATGTGGTTGGCAGAAAGACCTTGTCAGAAGTACCCTGACCTCTCTGAACCCTCATTTCCTACATGCCTACCATTAATGTTTGGAAACATAGTACCTGACCCCACCTTGTGCGTGATAAAGTAGATCACCGGAGAGGGTTTGGGGAGGATCAGGGATTGTTCAGCCCCATAAGAGAGAAGTTTCCTCCTTCTGCTAGTTCAAGGGCATCAACAAGGGCCGGAAGATGAACATTATTGACTCCATGCTGAGGATGCTGGAGCAGTACTCCAGCAACCTTGAGGACCTCATCCGGGAGCGCACGGAAGAGCTGGAGCTGGAAAAGCAGAAGACGGACCGGCTGCTCACACAGATGCTTCCACCGTCAGTGCCAGCAGGGAGGGCAGCCCTTGTCCAACCAGACTAGGGGGCTTCTAGGTATTCTTACCATGTGTCCCCGCCCAGGTCTGTGGCTGAGGCCCTGAAGACTGGGACACCTGTGGAGCCCGAATACTTTGAGGAGGTGACCCTGTACTTTAGTGACATCGTGGGCTTCACCACCATCTCAGCCATGAGTGAGCCCATCGAGGTGGTGGACCTGCTCAACGACCTCTACACTCTCTTTGATGCCATCATTGGCTCTCACGATGTCTATAAGGTGCAGTGTGTAGGAGGCAAAGGAATTGACTTCCGGTTTCGTTTCATCTGCCTCCAGCCCATCTCTGCCTGCTCATTTGAATCCCACCTACCCCCAAACCCTCTTTGTTAGCCTCCCTGTCTTTTAGCTCCTCCCCTTAGCCTCCCACATCTCAGAACCGCCCTCTTCCAGCATGGCTTCCTAGGATCTTGGTACTGACCCTAGTTTGTTGTTGTTGTGTACCATGAGTCAGAAATGATTTTTAGCTGACTCTTTAATGGGATTTCAGAGGCAGTAAATTGCAAGGAATAAGACTTCCCATCTTTCTTCCGTGGAGCAACTGGTCGATCCCAACCTTTGCTCTGGTAGAGCAATTTCTTATTGCTAAGCCACCAGAGTGCTCCAATCCAGTTTAGGTCTCCTAAACTCCACTGCCATTGGATCTGTTCCGACTCACTGTGACCCTCTTCAAAATTTGCAAGGCTGTTAAGTCTTTACAGGAAGAGACTATCAACACTGACTGCGAGTGGAGAATCACTAGGGGGGTGATGAAGCGCACTGAATGCACACAATCCTTCCTCCCAGGTGGAGACCATTGGGGACGCCTATATGGTGGCCTCAGGGCTGCCTCAGCGGAATGGGCAGCGACACGCAGCAGAGATCGCCAACATGTCACTGGACATCCTCAGCGCAGTGGGCACCTTCCGCATGCGCCACATGCCCGAGGTGCCCGTGCGCATTCGCATTGGCTTGCATTCGGGTAACTCTCCCCCTACCCCAGGTGTGCTTATTTGTGGAGACTGTGAGGCGCTAATCAGGTTTACCCAAGCATAGTGTACCCAGGCAGGCAGGTTTGCTTTGGTGCAGGCCCTGCCGCCCACCAACCCCGCGCATCTCCGCAGGCCCGTGCGTGGCGGGCGTGGTGGGCCTCACCATGCCACGGTACTGCCTATTCGGGGACACTGTCAACACCGCCTCTCGCATGGAGTCCACCGGGCTGCGTGAGTAGGGACCTGGGCAAAGCGGCTATGGGGGGATGGCGCTGCAGACATACACCCTCTGGAAAGGGGCCGCGGAGGGACATCCTGTGCTCACTGCGCATGTGCCGCCCCAGCTTACCGGATCCACGTGAACGCGAGCAGCGTGCGCATTCTCCGTGCCCTGGACGAGGGCTTCCAGATCGAGGTGAGAGGTCGCACCGAGCTGAAGGTGAGTTCCACGCTGCACCCTAGTGTCCCAGCCCCTCCTGGACCCCTACCCCACATCTTCCAGTTCCACTTAGACCTGGTCAGTAAGTGCCTCTCTCACCTGTGTCTGCCAGGGCAAGGGCGCCGAGGAAACGTACTGGTTGGTGGGCAGACGTGGCTTCAACAAGCCTATCCCAAAGCCGCCTGATCTGCAGCCCGGGTGAGGGGCGAGAGATGGGCATTGGCCTGGTGGTCCCCCTGTCCTTGTGTCTCCGTTTCATAGCCTCCTTTTTGTGATCCCTGATCCCCGCTCCCCACAGGGCCAGTAACCACGGCATCAGCCTCCAAGAGATCCCCCCTGAAAGGCGCCTCAAGCTGGAGAAAGCCAGACCTGGCCAGTTCCAGGGAAAGTGAGCCTCTGGGCAGGTAGGCCAGACCCTGAGCTCAGCTCTGCCTTCCCAGACTTCAGGGCCCTCAAGTCTCTGGGAGATGCTTCCTGGGAAACAGGCTCTTCTTCCCTAGCCATATGGCCAAGCATTGCCTATAGGATGCTTCACTAAGTCACATTCCCCCAGGATTGGGCATCCATTAAAAATGCAGGTTTCCAGAGCACCAGCTCAGAATTCAGACGCAGTAAGCAGCTCTGGAATGAGTCCAGGCTTGAAGCGATGGCCCAACAATAGGATTCCTCTTTAGCCTCCTGAGCAACATCCACCAGACAAACATGAAAAACTTTTCTCGATTGATTTCGAGGTTTTACACCATGTCCTTCCTCTTCCTCAGTGAACCCTGTGACCATTTCCCACAATTTCTGTCTGAAACATTGCTCTTTCTCTCAGGATTATTGTGGAAGGTCCTTTTCCTGAACGTTGCTGCTATGGGTGGCCAAAAGTCTGGCGAAGGCCAGTGACTTCTGTCAAGCTCTGCCTCAAAGGATTCTGGGCCTTTACAAGAGTTGGTTGCAAGCCAGCTGTGTGACTTTTACGCACTTTCTGGGCTTGGGCTCCCCCACATGGTGAAATGAGAGTTGGCCTGTGTGGTTTCCACAGCCCCTTCCACCTTTTAACAGCCTGGCTTTGAACTGCTAGCCTCAGGATACAGGGCTGTGTAGGTCCTTTGGGGACCCTGAGCTCATCAGGGGATGTTAGTGTGGGGGCTATTTTTGTTTTTCAGGGCCCAGTAAAGGAGGATCTGGGATTGGATGCTTCAACCCCAGAGGAGTAGATGATTTCTTTTCCTCCCTCGCAGGGCTTGTCCAGTGGCCTGTGGAGGAGTGGGCTCCTTTTTAGCCTCAACCTCCCTCATCCGTAGCTCTTTCTTATGTTAGAAACTGGTTCTTTTGCATGTAGGTATAGCCGGGTAACTCTCCCAAGCGCAGAGAAAAGCTTGCTTCAAAGCTTTATGTAAGGAAGTTAACCAAAGTCACTAAACCTTGACTAACCAGAACTCTCAGGGAGTAGTAGATGGCTGCTTAACTGGGCATTGCTGAGCACGTGGTAGAACTGAAAGTGGTAAAGTCTACCCAGACCTTGACAATAAATGTCAGCCTCTGCTGAGTTCCCCCGCTGGTTTCTTCTGTGGAACTCTGATGTTCCAGAGCCTGGACACTTTTCCCTGTTGGTGTTCTTGGCTGTTCCTGTGGTTCCTGGGAGAAATTAGCAGCTGTCCCCCAGGTGTAAGGTGTGGTGAGTGTCCAGTACCCAAAGGTACGCTATCACTGACCAGGGGTATGACAGAGGAAGTAGGCAGAGGATGAACTAAATCCTTAGACCAGCAGTACTGGTATCGCTAGGGAGCTTGTCCAAAATGCTGAACCACTCCCAGAATTCTGCATTTTCACATATTCCATCAAAATATATACACATTAATTTTCTGTTTCTTTAGTTTTTTAATCTTTATTTAGGTTTACAAAAACATTAAAGAAATATATAAAGCAGATCATGAAAGTTCTCCCATAATATAATTTCCTCATAAAACCACTAATAACATGTGGTACTCCAGAATGTTTAAAGCATTAGCAATTTATTTTACAAAAATGATTATACAGCTGCTTTAAAAAAAAAACACCACAAAAACACAAAACAACAAAACACCCCACCATAAACATAATAGAAGTCTGAAAAGCTTGATTTAATAGTTCTGACATTCCTTACCCTCTTAATGGGTACATAGAACTAAAACCCACTAAACCAAACTGTTGATTGGATGCATTAGTTTTCAATGCCTGAAACAAAATTATCCTGTTGTTGGTAAGTCTTCATTAGTTGGCACCTCCTCATCGCAACCCGGTGTACAACTCTCTCATCTCACTCAAGGTGATTGAGTCTGTTCCAACTCATACTTGACCTTCTATTGCTTTTCCAAGGCTATAAATCAGATAGGAGGAGAGTGCCATCTTTCTTCCAAGGAGCTGCTGGTGGATTCATACTGTCAGGGGGCACTGCTGTTAGCTGCCTGCTGAATACATCACCAGAGCTCCCAGTGTGTATACAGCCTCTGTCTACAACAGATCCCTGGAATCTAAGATTTCCTAAGAACCCAGCTGGAAACTGTCAGACATGTTTTCTTTAACCTAGGGAGTGAGTGTTTGGTTTGATTTGGTTTTGATTTGGGTCTAGCCCTGAAAAGTCAAGAGACAAAAGCATTTAAAAATGTATTCTAGATTTTCTCCTTCTCTTGAAATCAAAAGAACAGGTCAGCCCCTCAGCATCGTTCTGCTGGACCTGAGGAATGACAATCCCCCTTAGTCAGGGCTTTCACTCCTCAGTTCTCAGTCGCCACCCCCTTCCTGTTGCTCCAAGATAAGATTTTTTTGAACACTTAGAAACCTACCAGCTGCCCCTAGTCCTTTGAGCTCTGGATGTAGATTTAGAGTAAGATGTTAGGGTCATAGGAGCCTCCTAGAGGTTGATATTTTGGGTGTTAATTTTTTGTTGTTGTTGTTGTTCTTGACAGATTAGTGAAACTGGTAACCTGCCCCTTTCTTCTTCCTAAATGTAGAGAGTTCGCAAGAAATCTATTACCCAGCACTCATAGGTTCTGGTTCCTTAAGGTGGTGGTGCTCCAGTGAGTAATTTCAGTGAAACTTTAAAGCTATTTTGAATTGAGATGATGAATTAAAGATCAAACTGACACTTTGGAAAGATGTTATTTAAGTTTGTAAACGTAAACATTTTCTCTGTACTTCGTCCTAGGGTTTGGAGGGCAGGCTCCACCTTGCTGGCACTGGGCCTGTCTATGGGAGGGAGGGGTGCTCCTCCACTCTCCTAGCCCTGCCACATCCCTCCTTAATCTTCCCTCCCTGCCTGCCCGTCTGTGCGGGCCAGGGGAGGGCCTCAGGGTGCTTCAGGGAGCCTCAAGGAAGAACAGCCTGGATGAGGGTCAGGCTCAGGTAGGGTACCCCAGAAGAGGAGGACCAGCCTGGACCAGAGCAGTCTGTGCCCAAACACAGCACAGGGTGGGCATGAGACAGGCAAGATTGAGCCAGGCTCTCTGTAGGATAAGATACCACAGTGTCAAGTCAGCAGATAGGGACTGGAGGAGAAGGTTGTGATGAGAGTCCTATACCCTTATGCAGAGAGAAGTCAGGGACTTTGCATCCCAGAGCTCACAAAGATGAGCAGAGCCAGTGGGGGAAGAGAAGAGGGACGATTAAGTCTCCTGTCTTTCCCCCTCTGTCTCTGTCTCCCCTTCTCTGTTCCTCAGTCTTGATGCTGACTGCACCTCAGGCTTCTCTCTGCCCTACAATTCCACCTCCCCACCATGTCTCTGGAACCTTTCTTCCTGAATCTAGCCAGCTATCTAACTGTTGAGCCTCTTACTGTCCTCCCATCATTCCTGATACTTTCCTCCCTGAGCGTACCTGGCTTGGTCACTAGGCATTCCCACCTTCAGATGTGTTTACACTACCTCTGCCAGCTGGCCTACCCCAAGGGCTCATACTGTACGCACCTTGCCTTTGGGAAGACCCCCAGCTGGGACTGGTGACAGCCAAGTGAGGACCTTCCACAGTGGCTGCAGCCCTAGGAGCTCGCCTGGCGCCTTTCTCTGTAGGGCTTCTCAGGGTATGAGCCCTGTCCCCACCTCTGTCTGCATAGGGCCCCAAGCACCTTCCTTGTGAGACAGTGGGGCACACTGCTTCTCGGTGGGGATTTGTAATACTACCTTGCTGGGCTGTTTCATGGGATCTTCTGGATCATGCACTGTGGGCACCAAGCCATATGCTGAGCTGTTTGGGTCCTGGGAGGGTGGGGGTTGAAATAAAGGTATACTTTCCTCTGGTTTCGTGGTATGCTGTTTTTTTGGCCTGAAGGGATTGTCTGATCACTGCCATCCCTGCAGTGTTCTCACTTGGCACTGCCTAGTTGGTTGAGTCTAAAGCCAGATCCAGGTTGGAGCAGCATCCACTGCTACTACCTGTTTACTTAAGTCCAGCTCATGATGACCTAATGTGTGTGTCCAAGTGCACTGTGAAAGTTTACAGAGAAAATCAGATCCATCAGTAGTAGGTAAGCACCGTCCTGTTCTTCTGGTCTCAGACTGGTGAGGGCTGTGTAGTCCAGTCAACAGTTTGCACATATTTTGTTTTGTGATGGCTGCAGTCCCCTCAATGTAGCAGCACTCTTCACACACCCTCCTTGGGTTCCCCATTTCCGTTTTCTCCCTTCCTGCCTTCTAAACTTTGTTTCAAAGAAAATGCTGCCCTTTTGGTCTCAAGTCGTTGATTGCCCTGAGAAACATTTCCTCACAGTATTATAATTGCTTTGTAGGTCTGTCTGTTTTCTGGGCAAAAGGTGATCCCAAGAGTAGGTACAATTCTGAGTTTGAAGAATGTCTAAAGGCCATGGTCTTAGGGGGTTCCACCCATCTTCATTAGACCAGTCTATCTTGGCGGGTTTTGACTTTGAATTTTGTTCTGTGTTTATCTCCACTCTGACCAGGACCTTTTATTGTGATCCTGCTCTGAGTGGTCAATGGTGGTGGCCAGGCATCACCCTGTTCTTCTGGTCTCAGGCTGATAGAAGCTGTGATTTGTATGGCCCATTAAGTTTTAGTTTGATCGTTTTCTTGACTTATTTTCTTTGTCCTCCTTTGCTCTGGACAGGAAAAGACCTATAGTTGTGTCTTAAGTGGCTGCTCCAGTTTTTAAGACCCTAGTCTCTACTGGAAGATGGTTTCTCGCATCTCTATCAGGGTCACATATGGAACATTTGGTTGTTTTTTCCCTCTTTTTCATCCACAAGCAGGTATCAGCTGATTGGACTTGCCAGATTTGACTAACAATGAGCTGTGGGCTGGGGGTCTCTGGTTTCTAGTCAAGCAGCATTTGGTGGGCGTGCCTGTTTTTAAAAAATATGGTAGGACCCTTAGCCAAGTGTTAATTGATTTTAGGATGAATACTCTTTTAAGGGGTA